AGTAATGCTTTAAACCTAAATAAAAACTAACTTTAAATTGACTAAATTCTTCTAAAAATGAAAATATAGTGTATATATACAGAAAAAAATACTCTGTATTAAATAAAAAGAAATAAGACTTAATAAGTCATGTTTTAGAAACAAAACATAAGTTGCTCTATTTGTGCACTTCGCACATGTTTTAATCGTATTTCAAGCAATTTCTTTTACATAATAAGGATTATTTTTATAACGTCATTGTAGTAATCGCGAGAATAACATGAATGCATCAAATGGTCCAAATTGCTAAGCAGCCAATTTGCTTCGACATGTGCCAAATAAACAAGAAGAGCTTATTACTTGTGTGGGTAAAATTGACTGAAAACACTACCAAGCATGAGCGTGGAAATAGTCTGTCAACCATCACTCCTATCTAACTCTCACATTTGTCATACACTCCACTCTCACTCCATTCATTTTTTTTTTCCTTTTCTCTTAAATTCCACTAACTCTCTCTCACTCCCACCCTCCCATCCACAATCAGCAAACGTCTACTAAAAATTAGGACAAAAAAAAACTCATTTTGCATGCTCTCACACCACTAACTCACTAACTGACTAGCTCTATAAATACAATATCATAATCTCCCCATTCATACATAACATTCAACTCATTAACACCAACTTCAAAACAAACGAGTTTGATACAAACAATAGTATAATAATGGTGATGGTAGTAGATAACAGTCCCGAATTGGCATCGTCCACCTCGGGTCCAATGACACACTATTGTCGGGTGTGCAACCGAGGGTTTAATTGCGCAGGAGCCCTCGGTGGGCACATGCGGTCTCACACGGTGGGGGATCAAGCAGACAAGAGTCAGAGTGATGATCACGACCACATGAACAACAAGCAATCAAATGTCGAAGGACAAAAGCACTCCTACTTCTTACGCACTATTGCAAACCGTTTTGTCACTAAAAGTAGAGGATATAGAGCTGATGACGATGACATTGACGATGATAAGGGTGTAATGCCACACGGGAGCATCGCGCCATTTTCGTCATCGCCTCCTCTTCGTAGTCATCAATATTGTGTATCAAAGGAAGATATGGATCTAGCTAATTGCCTGGTGATGTTATCATCCAACGGGTCATTCCAATTCACGTCGTCTCAAGATGATATACACGATCACAAGGGAAAAATGGTCAAGGAAGAGGACACAAACAACAACAATAATAGGGGCGTGTTCCCATGTAAGGCATGCAATAAAGTGTTCAACTCCCACCAAGCATTGGGTGGACATAGAGCGAGTCACAAGAAGGTTAAAGGTATTGTGCATGGCCTCAAATATTCCGTAACACAATATTAAAACATAACATATTCTACTTTGAAATGAAGCATCATAGTTTGATTCTAAAACTGTGAACGGTTCATATCTAGAGAAATATTATTACATAGTTCAAAATTCAAATCATTTTTTGGACTAAATAAATGATTAGAATAATGACATACATAGCTAGTTGTCCATCCATACTTATATATGTTTACTCATATTTGCAACATTTTCTTTAAAGGTTGCTACGCCGCCAAGCTCGACAACCTCAACAACGACAACAACAATAACAAAAATGATGAAACCGGCAATTATTGCCCCGATGAATTCTTGGATAGTGATTATTCTCTGCCCTCCCCACCACCACCCTCGGCCTCCGCCACAATCTCCCGGAAGCGCTCAAGGGTGCATGAGTGTTCCATCTGCCACCGGATCTTCTCCTCCGGGCAGGCATTGGGTGGCCACAAACGGTGTCACTGGCTAGCAGCATCAAACACGGCAGACACGACAGTCTTACAAAGCTTCCAAGAAATTGCGGCATATGACAACAAGCAATCGCCACTGTTGATCTTCAAGAATCCTTCGTTCCCGTCGGGTTATACTTCGCATGTGCCATCGTCGTCGTTGGACCTCAACATTGCACCTATTATCACCAACGTTCCAAGAAAATCATCCTTTGAAAAGGAGACAACCACAAGATTGTGCTATTTGGATCTATGGGAAAAAGGGGTTAGTAGTAGTACTAATACCGCTAACTCCAGTCACAACCATTGTGGTGAGGAGAAGTCTCCAAAGCTAAAAGATATGAAATTAGATGGAGAATCATCAGCTTCTGGGTGGTTGCAAATGGGCATTGCAAGCTTTACCCCTGCTGCTTTGATTTGATAAGCTATTCTTAAAGGTCGCCAAGAAGGCATTTTAGTACAAATGTTCTCGATTCTATGTCAAGAATTAAAGTAGGCATCCATGATCCATCACTTGCTTGATTACTTACTCTATGCTTTAATTTATGGTGTTTTACTTATTTACATGATTTGTTCTCCATAGATCATACGTAATTTTAATTTGGGCTCAATGTAGACACATATATATATATATATATATATATATATATATATATATATATATATATATATATATATATATATATATATATATATGTAATTGGAATGGATACAATAGTTTAGCAAAAGATCAGATTAACACGGATTAATTAATGTATTATGATGTTTTTCATCAAAATTTCTTTCAATCTAATATCCACACAAACGATAATAGAGTACTAAAATAAACATTGCATATATGGATATATATCAAACATTTATTAGATACAATCGGAACACAAAATTGATATGGATGCATTTCAAATTCGACTTATCAGTCAAATTTTTCACCAACCACAATAACTTTTGATTTTGCATGTTTAAATAATGTAATAATCAAAATAAAGTAAGGTTGAAGTTATTTTTCTAGTTGCATTAGTTGATGTTATTGTAGAAAACCACTTTAGATATTTTACATACTTCGTATAATTTTTCTTTATTTTATTAATAATAAGTACTAGTAGATTAAATACGAGTATAATTTTTCAATAAATCAACAAAGTCTGTCCTGGTAAAGAAAAACAGAATCCGTCAATCTTGTTAGAAATACGACTTTGTTATCATGCTTAAAATTCATAATTAATAAATACGACTTTGTTAGAAATAAATTTTAATCACAAGGCGTTTCTAATTTCAGTAATTTGTTGAGAACTATGTTAATAAATAAGTGAATCAACTAAGGAAATGATCAAATTAATTTAAGATGCCAATTCACAAGCATGTTGAAAATTAATTTATGTTATTTTATGAATCATATATTACATAAATGTACAAAAATATTTTCATGTGTGAAACTATATTTGATTATATTAATATATTTTAAAACTTGTTAACAAGACAAGAGTTCATTTGTAAAAAAAAAATACAAGAGTTAATTTATTATGTAAAGTCATTTTAAAATTTGTTTAAGGCTTCAAAAGGTATAAAATAAAACCAATTCTCAAAAAAGGACCAAAAAGGCACAAGAATTCGAATCCAAGACTTTGGTAAGGTACGTACAACACAGTTTCCACTTGACAACAATCCCTTTTGTGTAAAAGTTCGTCAACAATATATAACATAATTATATTTCAGAAACAAATACTCCGTATTACCGTATATATAATCAAATATTGGGTATATATATAGGGTTGGGTGGGGGCAGCTACCCCCTTCCCCACCCTGGATAGCCCCTACTTAAAAGGCAGGGAAATTCTTTACAACTCTCGCATGACTAAGCGAAAATATTTGCTCAATCTTGAGCAATATTTTCTATGTTTAATCATGGAAAGATGGGCCTTCAGCACTTCAGGTTGTTACGAGTTTATACATTTTTTTAAATGAACGGATGAGTTTATGCGTTTAGTAATGAACATAATGTGGAGGTCTGAGTCAGGTGTAAGAATAATGATCATCATTATAACAATGTTAGTATATTAGACCCCGACCTACTACTTTCGGGGAAGGCCGGGAAGCCAAATACACTACTCTCCGTACGGAGCCCAATCAATGAGGCCTGTTTCGACATAATTTATCTAATTGTAAATTTGATATTTTCGAAATCATATACATAGTATAATTTAGACTGAGTTTATTTTGCTTTTACATCACATTAAATTATATATGCCTAGTCAGAGGGTGAGAGGACCTTCGAGTTATGAGTCTAATGTGGGAATGAATAGTGGTATAAGGTGTGATTGAAGGTGCAGCTGGTCCCAACTCCCAAGTCTGGAGGTGGTGGTGAGGATTTGTGTCCAACCACCTCTCATGTTGGTTATAGTAACAATATAGGCTATTTCCTTTCAAAAAATATTAGATATTTATTTTATTTTACTATGTGCTGAGATATATCCAACATGAAATAATAAATAAATATATGCAATTGCGTAAATACTGTATTTTAACGTGGAAACCCGAAAGAGTGAAAACAATGAGACTTTTCGAACTAAATCCAAGTCACTCTCATTTTAACAATACAAACATAAAGTCTTAGAAGTCTTTAATGGAGCTCCAGGCTCATACAGAGAGAAGGGGGCCGGGGGGGCCGGGGGGGCCGGGGGTGCGGAGAACAAGAAGGATAGCTAGAGAGAAAGGATCCCAAAACATGGAGGGAAACCTCCTATTTATAGAAAAAGGGGGATGGGTGCAAAAACTATCCTAATAGGCAAAAAGTGCCGAAACGGGCCGCATTGCCAAAATGGGCATCACTGACGGTCTCCGTACAAGGACAATGTTGGGCTTCCAAAATGGTAGTAGATCGGGTTAATATATATCAACACTGTTAATTTTGTTTTTTCGAATTCCACTCAACTCTCTCTCTCTCTCTCTCTCTCTCTCTCTCTCTCGTCTCTCTCTCTCTCTCTCTCTCTCTCTCTCTCTCTCTCTCTCTCTCTCTCTCTCTCTCTCTCTCTCTCTCTCTCTCTCTCTCTCTCTCTCCTCTCTCTCTCTCTCTCTCTCCCTCCCATGCCCTCCCATCCACAATCACCAAACGTCTACTAAAACTTAGGACTAGAAAAACTCACTTTGCACGATCTCACACCTCTAACTCACTAACTGACTAGCTCTATAAATGTAATATCAGAATCTCCCCATACATACACAACATTCAACTCATTAACACCAACTTCAAAACAAACGAGTTTAATACAAAAAATAGTATAATAATGGTGATGGTAGTATAGTCTTGATTTGTCATTGTCCACCTCGGGTCCAATGACACACTATTGTCGGGTGTGCAATCGAGAGTTTAATTGCGCAGGAACCCTCGGTGGGCACATGCGGTCTCACACGGTGGGAGATCAAGCAGACAAGAGTCGGAGTGATGATCACGAACACATGAATGACAAGCACTCAAATGTCGAAGGACAAAAGCACTCGTACTCTTACGCACTATCACAAACCGTTTTGTCACTAAAAGTAGAGGATACAGAGGCGGGTGACGATGACATTGACGATGATAAGGGTGTCATGCCAAACGGGAGCATCGCGACATTTTCATCATCGCCTCATTTTCCAGACCAGACCAGAACAACAAATTTCAGTCCAAAAGAAAACATCCTTACTCTAGCAGCTCTGCTACTTTATAATACGTATTATATAAAGATTATATAAAGATAAAAATTAGAATATCAAGACTTAATAAAAGGAAACCAAATCAAAAGTTAGTATTATTTACGTACATGTAGTATTGTTTACGTACATGTAGTACATCCTTTCTAAATTTTCTGCCTAATATAATTAATTATCAAATTTGCTTTTCTCGTCGATCAGTTCCCTATTCTGCCCTAATTTGCTTTTGTCCCAACTATGTTAGTTTATATTATATAAATAAATATTATGGAGTATAAAACAAATAAAAATAAAACTAATGAGAGGAAACATTTTGTAACAAAATAATACTTTAATAATTACTACAACTATTATTATAATTAGTAAATTTGACAGATGTCTATTACAACTAATAATGAAAGGTTCGAACAAAAGGAAAGCATTTATGTTTACATAATTTCACACACATGTAATTTTATTTGGTAAGTTTATTCAATTTTATCATAGTTTATTCAATAAATGCTCTATCAATGAGGCCGTATACCGTGCAACCGGCGGTGCATGGTGAGCACCATGCACCCATGGTTATATGAAATGTAACTCGTGTGATTTGAGATGTAACTTCAAGTTAATCGAAATGTAAATTGCACTCATTCACATGTAACTCGTTGAAATGTAAACTGCTTTGATTCAAATGTAACGTGGGAACAAATCTGATTTAATTTGTGAATGTAACTTTAGCTTATTCAAATGTAACTTGGGAACAAGGAGGTGTAACTTGTGAAATCAACATCCAAGAAAATGGAAAAATTCAGATTAATCTGAATTGGAGTAATACGTTGACCTCCTAAATCAAATAAAAAGAATTTGCTTTCAGTGAGATTCATATTTAAAAATTCATATTAGATGTAAAATCAAAGCAAAGGAAATTGTTTTTTTGTCCTAAAAGAGATGTGGCTTTGTACGTAGTTGAGAGTGAGTTTGAAAAGAAAGAATCTAATTAATTTCTAACTAGCTAGGTTGAAGAGCTTGAGGAAGAGATCGATGCTCAAACCTGGTGTTGCTCTGCTTTGCCGCGGCGGAAGATGATCGATGCCCTGTTCTTTTTTTTTCCCCTTTTTTAGGACCCAGCACACCGTCCTCATGGTGTGTCGGTTGTAGGGTATAATTTGCGTCTATCAATGAATATATTTTCAACCCAAGCGCAAGGCCGGATGGAGATTAGACCATTTGGAGCGGTTGAGAGGCCAAATTGTTAAAAATAAACTCCGTCCATATGAAAATAGTGTTTAGACTCACACTTTCCGGCATTCCAGCACCGTCAATAAAATACACTCAGCATATATTTTAACCTATCTACTTAGAAAAACATTAATTTAATTATTATAAGTAATGTTTTCCTTTTAATTTTTTCGCGACAGTCCTATTTTGGAATTTTCAAACAATTTTAGTCCTATTTCGGGAACTTTCCCGAAATAGGACTAAAACAGTTTGATAATTCCAAAATAGGACTGACATGTTTTTTATTCCCAAAATAGGAGTAATTACTGTCAAGTTTGGAAAATACGGTCATGTTTGAAGTCCGGTACTGCCAAAACATGACAGTAATTAGTCCTATTTTGGGAACAAAAACATGACAGTTCGATTTTGGAATTTTCAAACCTTTTTAGTCCTATTTCGGATAATATCTCTTCCAAATTTCCGATTGATTTTTTTTTTTTTTGGAATTTCTTGGTAAACCTAAATTAGTCGTAAATAACTCTTCCGAATCCCGTGATCCTAGAAAGCCTAGAATAAAGTCCGTATTTTTGCCTTCCATGTTGGTAACTCCCGTCTTTTTAGAAAAGACCCTATAATTTACGGTGAAGCAGTCATAAACAAAGGACAAAATCAGTTCTTTTGGTGAAGCAATTGCTCAGTTTCCATTCATTGTAAACAATTAGTTTAGCGGCGATGGTCACGAATTTCAGGTTTGCAATTAGTTTCTCTGAGATCGGGTCTTCATTAATAAAAAATTTATAATTAAATCTCAGTTGCTGTTGTTTGCTTTTGCATTTTATTGAAACAATGGAGCTTTCTAAATTCTAATTAAAAAAACCTAGAGCAGAACCAGTTGTCTAGGAGATGGTTTATTGCTTCTCTAAATCAGCACTACCTAAACCAGTTGTCCACTTAATTTAAGGAGAAGCTTTCAAGCTGTTAATCCTGGAGCAGGTGAAGGTATGAGTGCTGCTGATCTAGGTAATCAATGATAAATAGATAGTATAAATGGTAATTAAGGAATAAATAAATTTGAATCTTGCTGTGTGTGGTTGTTACTTTGAGCTTGCAGTGTGCCCCAAATGGTTGAGGGACGGTGGTAATGAAGACATATTGTTGGAAATACTAGCTAGGCTACCAAATAGTCGAAATGCAATTCATGCCAGCTTGGTGTCTCACCTTTGGCATTCCATCATCTCTCAGCAGCAGTTTATTCCCAGGTTTATAGGCCTCCGGGAGCAAAAGAAGAAACAGCAGCCTTATTCCATCATATTCCGCATAGTAGATGTTTATCAGTATGTTGCAGATGAGTATTATCAGCCCATCTGCAAACTATTTTCAGAAGAATCTGTGGTTCTCCATGGGGGAGGGAAGGAGGAGACAGTGACATCATGTAGAAGTTATCCTCCTTCTGGCAGCAGTGGCGGCATCCAGCCACCTTCACCCAACATGGTCATAAGAGCATCTTGTGGTGACTTGCTGCTGTTGTCGCAAAGTGCACGCCACTATAGGTGTAAGCCGAACTCCTACTATCTATGTAACCCAGTAACCAAACAGTGGTTCCATCTCCCCCATGTTGATTTCAATGGGTTCTTGATGGGGTTTGCAATAGTACGCATGCCGCCGCCCGCCCATAACAGCCATGGCAGTTATGAATACAAGGTGGCATTCATTCATTATCCTATATATTATGAAGATGAGTATTTTGCTGGGGACAGTTGGGAGTTCAGAATGTCAATTTATTGTTCAAAATCAAGACAATGGATTGTTGAATCATGGTTTCGATATCCTATACCTACTCCCCGCAGGTGCGCTAGGTCTTTCATTAACCCAGTCACTTGTAATGGAACTATTTATTGGTTAAATTGCAATAAGGTTCCTGACTACGTCATTGCCTGTGATTTGGCAAACAACCCCCACTCTACTGCCTTTATACACCTACCCGAAGGCTCTATGCCTGGTGGTGGGGGTGTTGTTTCACTAGAGTTGGGCGCTGTTCTGGGGGAACTGAGAATATTCAACGTATTCCGCCCGCCACCGGGTGACCAGCAGCAGCCTCGGCATCTCGTTGTTAAAGTTTGGGAGTTGAATCACAGAACCAATTCTTGGACTCTCGTTCATGACACACACTTCAATGATAGGCCGCCTCCTCCTAATGGCATCCAAGTAGAAGGAAACAAGTTCAACATCCGTACAGTTGCTTTCCATCCACACGATGGGGACGTGGTCTTTTTGGTATGCGGCTGTGGTGTTTTCCAGTATCACATTTCACAGGGTGTGTATGAGAAAGTAGATGAGCTCTGTAGTGTTTTTCGGTATCACATTTCACAGGGTGTGTATGAGAAAGTCGACGAGCTCCTCCATTCTGTGCCTCCAAACGAGCTTCTTACATCCTTCACTCTCCTCCACTCTATCTGACCCACCACCATGTTGCTCTCTCCTTCCGATTAGAATAGTAATTGCTATATTTGACTCTCTGTTACTGTGTGCACACTCACATACTGCATATGTTATTGTGAAACAGTGATGAACTTTATTGGTTTGGGATTGTGATCTTGACCATGATAATTGTCAACATTTTCCCCCTTTGTCCTTGCATTTGTTTGTTCCCCTCCCACCGCTCCTTTTTTCTTGTGCTCACTCTTTAATTTGCTATATTTGTATCCAATGTTGAAAATATCTCTATCGGTAGTATATAGACACTTCATTTTTCTTATAATTATCACTTGATAATATCGCTATCACAAAAAGAATAGTATGTATAATAAGTAAATGCTAACTTTTGACTCCATTTTTAATTGTATGAAGGATCTACTTATATTTAACGCATGCATTTTGGTATAGTGACATTTTATTTTTAGTTTTATATGTTCAGTCCATTTCTAAATCTAACTAATACTCCGTACGATATATGTAGTTCCTTGCTCTGTTGCTTTTGTGATGATTGATTTGAAATGATCCCTTAGCAGCTCATGCTAATCCGATTAGTCAATTGTATGGCTGGACTAGCTGCTGATTTTTGTCTGTCATATACCGACTTAGCTACTAATTTTTGTATGTCACATACTGGCTTATCTACTGTTTTTTGGCTGTTTTTTTTTTCTGCTGAATTAGCTGGTTTTTTGTTTGTTTTTAACTGTTTTTTGTTGATTTTGTGTAAGATTAGCTGCTGCTAGTTATGGGGTGGAGTCTCTAGCATGCAGCAAAACATTTTTTCGTTTCAAATTCAACCTATGGTTGGTTTTATTGGTTTGTGATTTGGATGAATGTGGATATCGATTTTTTCGGTTCTTGCTAAATTTAGATAGTTAATAATAGGGGTGAACAAAATGCTTTAGTTCAACTGAATCAGTCTAAATCAGAAATCGATACTTTTGATTGGTATGAGTTGATTGTAGTAAATCGTTTGGTAACGATTAGTGCAAACTGAATGGCTTGGTTTTGTTTTGTTTAGTTTTAAATTGAAATACTGTAAACTTAATCAAATATTTATTAGTATGTATTGAAATACTTTTTTATTTGTCTTCAATATTCATCTTTAAGATACACTCCGTAAATAATAAATAACTTAGAATGAATAGTGCAAGGAAGATAGCTTCTCTGTGGACTGGGTACTTAAATGGAATTGGCCGGAAAACTTTAGTAATTGTTTCAGTATCCTTTGTGGATATAAATCTGAGACCTGAGCTGGAAACAAGACATAACAAAAAGTTTATCATAATCCTTATAATTAGTTGATTGTTTGTGCTGGTCAGCTATTGAGTGACGTGGTTCTGTGGTTGATATGGCCGTGTAGGATTGATAGAGAATGCTTATGCTATTCCTAATGCTGGTTTCACAATCCATTGAGCTTAAGTGATTACACTTTGTATTGCCTCTGGCATTTTTTTATTAAGGGGTGTTTAGTGAATGCCTTGATATAAATTCAGAGGCACTTCTTGAGAAGAGAAGAATTGCATGGATGATTTTTGGAGAAGCTAGAGGGTACTAGCTTCTAGAAACTAATTATCATTCAAATGTTTCCATTTCGTAGATACCCCAATCCTCCATCATTTTCTCTGAATTTTGGAATTCAGACTGATTTTTCTTTTAAAAGTAATGAAGTCATGATTTGTGTATTTCAAAGTACAATTCATTTTGCTTCCTTGCATTTTACTGGATTGAAATTTGTAATTGTTGTTTCAGTTATTTGATCATTAGAATAATTTGTACCTCGTATTTTATAATTTATACAATGCCTCCTGGGGGCCTAGAGCTGGGGCATCCAGCAAGTTATTAACCTATTATTAGGTGAAAAGAACTGCACTGGAGAATGGACTATGTGGTAGGTAACACAAAGATGCAAGTCGATCGACGTCAAATAAACAAAACAAATCGGTGCTTGCAAAAACTAAATAAATCAAACTCTTAGAAATACTAAGAGCCCGTTTCGTAACACTAAATTGGTTGATTCTGCTGAAAATTATGAAGTTCTGGCTGAAGTGGCTGTATTGGTTGATTCTGCCAATTCAGGAATAATTTATACTCCGTATTTAAAATATTTGTTATTAATGAATAAAATAAAAACTTATATGAAAAATAGTTAGAATGATCCTTTACAGTAACTTCAGTCAATACAGCTAGAAAAATAACTCCAATCTTATTTTTCTACTTATTACACAATTCAGCGTGCGAAATCAAAAATTACGTTTTTGGTGAAGAAGTTGGTTGATAAGCCGAAAAAAGGTTCACCAAATGGGCTCTAAATTGTAGTTGTTGATACCAAAGTCATATTGATCTGGCCCAAGTATTGAATATCCTTAACCTGTGCCCTCTGCAAATCTACAATCATAGAATGTTATATGCTTGACTGCTTGAGTAAACATTGATGAAAAATTTGGTCATGTTTTAACCTTAGGAATTTGCTTTTCATAAGCCTATCTTAACACAACGCTTGAAGTAATTCGGTGATTACCTTCAAAATCCAACAAGTTACTTTGCATGTGTTGTCCATCATTGAATACCTCAACCATGTATTGACATACATTGTTTGTCCTAGTTTTTATATGTGCTCAAATGGGGTAATAAATAAAAGAGATAACTCATATCATATTGATGAGAACATTGTTTATTTGAAATACGTAACATTTTTCAATAAGTTTTATTTTTTACAATGCTAGTACTTCCTATCTTTTTTTACATGTCACTATAAGCCCGTTTAGTAACACTGAAATCGGCTGAATCGGCTGCTTTTGCTGATATTTATGAAGTTCTGGCTGAAGTGGCTGTATTGGTTGATTCTGCTGATTTATGGAAAAAAATTATATATAAAGTATATTTCATTCATAAAATAAAGAAAAAACTATATTTAAAATAGTTAAAATGATCTTCTACAGACTACAATAACTTTAGCAGGCAGAAAAGTAACTTCAATCTAACTTTTTCTTATTATTACACAATTTAGCGCGTGAAATAAAAATAAAAAGTAGGTTAATAAGCCTGATAGGCCGAAAAACAGGCTCGATCACTAAAAGGGCTCTATATGTAATTTATGAAGATCAAGTAAAGCAATACCATGTATGTGATAATTTATTTAGACTAGAAAATATATGCATGACAAGAATGAACGTAGAGAAATTAGGAAAAGCAAGAAGTGGAAAGCGTAAGAAAAAGAAAGAGAAAATATGATGAAAGTCGGAAATAAAATATGAAAACGGCAGGATAAAAAATTTCAAGTTATCCAATTGACTAAACTAGACTTCCTAGTTTACAATAAATTTTTGAAGATAACTGCGCAGTTAACAGCGGAGTATATTTCAGAAAATCATTTGACTTTCTTCACGATTGAATTTTTAGCCGAAATTTGGTATGGGTAAACTAGATTTAATGAAGAAGATGCTCAAAAAAAAATTATCAATAAATTGCACCAGAAACCGCCCCAAATGGCGACGGCCGGACAGAACATCCTATAAAAGGGGTGATTTGCACTTTTTCGCAATTTTGACACTTTTTAATGGTTAAGGGGGTAAATTGAACCACTCTGTCGGGTTCAGGATCCTATTTCACCCCTTAAATTGTCACGTGGGATTTGCAAAAAGTAAAAGGGGTTTGTCCTCAAATAATACTAATTAAAAGCATTTGGACAAAAAAAGAGACTTTTCTTTTAAGTTCCAAAAAAAAGAATAAATAATACTTAAGGGACTGTTACACCCTTACTAAGCTCAAACCCACTGTCCTGCTACAGTAACTCGTCACAGTGACCAATGTTACAGTTACCAATGACATAGTTACAAAATTCATCCAGTGACCAAAAATTAATATGTCCCACCAATGACCCGCATCACAGTGACCAAAGGTGCAGTGACTTTTGTCCAGTGACCAATTGACAAAGTGACATCCGCTCAATGATCAATTCTTATAGTGATTCCCGTGCACTGACCACCGCCACAATGACCATCGTCTAACAATTACAGTTACACCCGACCAGTGACCTAACCCGGCCAACGACCTAACCCGATTAGTTACAATTACCCAACCCGATTTGTTACAGTTACCCGATCTAACCAGTTACCGTTACCCAATCCGATTAGTAATAGTTACTTAACCCGATTAGTTACAGTTACCAAATTCGACCAATCAAAGTTCTCAAATCGCATCAGTTACAATTACACGATTGAATTAGTTACAATTACCCGACTGACCCGATTAGTTTCAGTTACCAAACCCAATTAGTTACAATTACATGGTTCGACCGCCGCTGCCGCCAATCTTTGACCACCGCCGCCGCCTACAATCTCTGGTCACTGGCTCCAACCACATTCTCTGGCCACCGCCGCCCACCACCATATCTCCGGCGGCCAGCCTCCACCGCCAATGACTGCAGCTTCCCCGCACCAACCCCCTCCCCAACCCCAACCCCAACCCCAGTCCAGATCCAGCCCCACACCAGCCCCACATCAGCCCCTACCCCCTCTCAAACCCATGTACAACCGCTGCCAACCCCCCATAGCCCTCCTCAGCCCCTTGCACACCAGCAACGGCGATGGGCAGCGAGACGAACCGCCGCATCGCCGCCCCAGCCGCCTCTCTAGTCCGAATCAGCCACTGTCTAGAAGCCCAAGCCACATCGTCATATCTCCGGCATAGCCACAACCCTAGCTAGATAGGTATCAAACAAAAAAGAGTATAAGAGAAGATTGGAACGGTTGTGGCATCAGAGATGAAGAAGAAGGGGCGTCGTCGATTTAAAGGGAGTCAGCGACGGAGATGCAGACTAAGGCGGAAACGGCGATGCAAACGGAGGCGGTGACTTCGATGTAGACGGAGGCGGAGGCGGAGGCGGCGGGAAAGATGGAGGCGACGACTGCCATTGTTGAATTCCTTGGCTGCATAAGATCCGCAACGGCAGGTGGAGTATTTAAGGCAAATTCATCAGGGGCATAGAAGATATTTCACACCTAATTTAGTCACATATTTGTCTAAACGGGTCTCTTTTTTGGAAGATTGAAAATCAATCCTATTTTAGTCATTAGGTCTTCTGCAGGTGATATCCATGTCATTATTCCAAAGTAAAATTTGAACTTTTTTATCGAGTTCAGGGTGTGAATTAGAGTTTTTTTGGGATGAGAGAGAAAATTGAGCATTCGAGGCTAGTACAAGAGTCTATTTGACTCTTTAGCCTTTATCTTTTATGCTAGTTATTTGGATTTCATAATGGCAATATAATACTCCGTAATGTCATAATGATAATATTCTTATTTTGAGTGACATTGCTCGTTAGATTGAAAGTGTGCATGTTTGAGTGGTGGGAAAATTGGAGGAATGACCAAGGTTCGAAACCCGCAATGACCGTGTGGAAGTTATAGCTCTTGTGTGCTTGGTTGGACTTCTGGTGCGCATGGGTATAAGGCCTACACTATCATTGGGTTGACTGAGTCACCGTGATTTGCATCCTCTCATATGTCTTGTCGGGTCGGGGCTTGGGGATTGAAAGTCTACGTGTTTATGTACTCATATCAAGTGGTACATGGTGCTATTTTTAATTTTGCACTTGCATTGTTTTTAATTCTATTAAGTGCATTCTTTTTAAATAACATTAGGCATGCTTTAAAACCTAAAGAAAAACTAACCTTCTAATAAGTCATATTTTAGAAATAAAACATGAGTTGCTCTATTTGTGCACTTTGCAAATGTTTTAATCGTATTCCAAGAAATGTCTTTTACATAAATATGGATTATTTTTATAACATCATTGTAGTAGTCACGCGAATAACATGAATGAATCAAATGGTCCAAATTGCTAAGCAGCCAATTTGCTTCGTCATGTGCCAAATAAACAAAAAGAGCTTATTACTTGTGTGGGTAAAATTGACTGAAAACACTACCAAGCATGAGCGTGGAAATAGTCTATCAACCATCACTCCTATCTAACCCTCACATTTGTCATACACTCCACTCTCACTCCATTCATTTTTTTCCTTTTCTCTTAAATTCCACTAACTCTCTCTCTCACTCCCACCCTCCCATCCACAATCAGCAAACGTCTACTAAAAATTAGGACTACAAAAACTCATTTTGCATGCTCTCACACCTCTAACTCACTAACTGACTAGCTCTATAAATATAATATCATAATCTCCCCATACATACACAACATTCAACTCCTCAACACCAACTTCAAAACAAATGAGTTTCATACAAAGAATAGTATAATTATGGTGATGGTAGTAGAGAATAGTCCCGGATTGTCATCGTCCACCTCGGGTCCAATGACACACTACTGTCGGGTGTGCAACCGAGGGTTCAATTGCGCAGGAGCCCTCGGTGGGCACATGCGTTCTCACACGGTGGGAGATCAAGCAGACAAGAGCCAGAGTGATGATCACGATCACATGAACAACAAGCAATCAAATGTCGAAGGACAAAAGCACTCCTACTTCTTACGCACTATTGCAAACCGTTTTGTCACTAAAAGTAGAGGATATAGAGCTGATGACGATGACATTGACGATGATAAGGGTGTAATGCCACACGGGAGCATCGCGCCATTTTCGTCATCACCTCCTCTTCTTAGTCATCAATATTGTGTATCAAAGGAAGATATGGATCTAGCTAATTGTCTGGTGATGTTATCATCCAACGGGTCATTCCAATTCACGTCGTCTCAAGATGATATACACGATCACAAGGGAAAAATCGTCAAGGAAGAGGACACAAACAACAACAACAATAATAGGGGCTTGTTCCCATGTAAGGCATGCAATAAAGTGTTCAACTCCCACCAAGCATTAGGTGGACATAGAGCGAGTCACAAGAAGGTTAAAGCTATTGTGCATGGCCTCGGATATTCAGTAACACAATATTAAAACATAACATATTCTACTCTGAAATGAAGCATCATAGTTTGATTCTAAAACTGTGAACGGTTCATATCTAGAGAAATATTATTACATAGTTCGAAATTCAAATCATTTTTTGGACTAAATAAATGATTAGAATAATGACATACCTAGCTAGTTGTCCATCCATACTTATATATGTTTACTCATATTTGCAACATTTTCTTTAAAGGTTGCTACGCTGCCAAGCTCGACAACCTCAACAACGACAACAACAATAACAAAAATGATGACACCGGTAATTATTGCCCCGATGAATTCTTGGATAGCGATTATTCTCTGCCCTCCCCACCACCACCTTCGGCCTCCGCCACAATCTCCCGGAAGCGCTCAAGGGTGCACGAGTGTTCCATCTGCCACCGGATCTTCTCCTCCGGGCAGGCATTGGGTGGCCACAAACGGTGTCACTGGCTAGCAGCATCAAACACGGCAGACACGACAGTCTTACAAAGCTTCCAAGCAATTGCGGCATATGACAACAAGCAATCGCCACCGTTGATCTTCAAGAATCCTTCGTTCCCGTCGGGTTATACTTCGCACGGGCCATCGTCATCGTTGGACCTCAACATTGCACCTACTATCACCAACGTTCCAAGAAAATCGTCCTTTGAAAAGGAGACAGCCACAAGATCAGGCTATTTGGATCTATGGGAAAAAGGGGTTAGTACTAATACCGCTAACCCCAGTCAGAACCAATGTGGGGAAGAGAAGTCACCGAAGCTAAAAGATATGAAATTAGATGGAGGATCGTCTGGGTGGCTGCAGATGGGCATTGCTAGCTTTACCCCTTCTGCTTTGATTTGATAAGCTATTCTTAATGGTCTCCAAGGCATTTAAGTACAAATGTTCTCGATCCTATGCAAAGAATTGGAGCAACCATCTAGCAGTGGCTTTAATTTATGGTTTTTTTACTTTTTTATTACATGGTTTGTTCTCCAGAGATCATACGTAATTTTAATTTGGGCTCAATGTAGACACCAAGACACACACACACATATATGTTATTGGAATGGATACAATAGTTTAGCAAAAGGTCAGATTAACACTGATTAATGTATTAGGAGGTTTTCATTTAAACTGCTTGCAGTCTCATATCGACACAAACAATACAGAGTACTAAAATAAACATTGCATATATGAAAATCCGTGAAAACATCCTTAGTATATGTACGCTAATTATAAATCATGAGTATTATTAATGATGTTTTTATTTGGACTGAAATTGTGTGATTTGGTAAATGTTTGGTCTCTGTGTATTTTATAACTATCGAAATCTAATCCAGCCTGATGATATAATCTGGTATGAACTGGTCTGGTCTGAAACTGAAAGAAGTCCAAGTAAAAACATCCTAAATGTTGTTTGGATTTGGATGCATTTCAAATTATGTCTAAATATGACGTTATTTTATAGTGACTAGTTCAAAGTTCAGACTAGTCATATTTTTGTCCAAAAACATAACTAGTTATATTTTTTGTCCGGAAAAACTCTATTCGTAATATACATGTCACTTTTTCTATTTTAAATCATATGAGGATGGAATTTGAAGATCGCAATCTTCATAAATGAATTGGAAAAGTTACGTTCCAATTTTGATTGTGTCGTAATTGTACAATTGCATATGAAGATCATATACCCCAGTAATTGGCGTGGTATGACCGATTAAATTAGCCAATTTAAAGATCATACCGATTTTGAGGGGTTTCCCGTGGAAAGATTGCCTCAAACAAGACAAAATAAAATCTTAATATGTATGGAGTAAAACTTGAAACGGGTATACAAAAGTTCGTCTAGCTAGCTAGTACTCCGTAGTAGTAGTAGAATTTTGTTACTCCGTATTTAGTTTTATAGAAATTACTTCAAATAGGACTAAAACTATGTCAAAAACTCAAAATAGGACTTGTTATGTTTTTTATTCCAAAATAGGACCATAATGGTCCTATTGGAAACATACTCATTTCTTTTTTCCTTTCTTACCTCTCCTTTAAATATTAGTAAAAGATAGTTAAAAGTCATAATTAAATGTTTAATTCATAATAAATTCGAAAAAAATTCAATAATTCGTAGAAAAATAATAAAAAAATTAATAAAATTTTTATAAAATAAAAAATTAGAATTTTTTTTTGAAAATTAATAAAAAACAGTAAAACTCCATAAAAAAATTAAAAAAAAAATGGATACCTTTTCCACCGCCTGTACTACCTCCCTGAACCACCACCTCCGATCGGTGTAAAAATGTCATTTTTTTTAAATTCCAAAAAAATGGCATATTTCTCTATGAGAATGCCAACATTTTCATTCTGCCAACTTGAATCTTTTTGACTTTTGCCAAAAATATGGCATTCATAATTTTTTTTGGCATTTTTTTACCCCGGTGACACGAGGTGGTGGTACCGCCTCCCTGCACCACCACCTCCGACCGTTAAAAAAATGCCATATTTCCTACAAACTTCCATTTTTTTCGGAAAATGCCAAAAATATGGCATATTTCTCTTTGACAATGCCAACATTTTTTTCTTCCATCTTAAATCATTCTGAATTATGCCAAAAATATGGAATTCATAATAAATTTGGCATTTTTTCCCCAAATGACTAGAGGTGGTGGTGTTGGGGCGGCAGAGGCGGCGGTGACAAAAAAATTTTTGATTTTTTTTTATTTTTTTTTATTTTTTTTTTATTTTTTTTATTTTTTTTTTAAATTTATTATTATTCAAAATATTTTTATTAACTTTTTGGTATATTTTAAGAATTTTTATTTTTTTTTATTATTTTATTATGAATTAAAACCTTTCAATAGGTATAAGGGTATATTTGTCCAAGACACACATAATTAGTCTTATGGAAACATAGTTTATTTTTTGGTCCTATTTGTGCAAAGTGAATGACTTTTAGTCCTATTTTGATAATTAACTCTTTGTTTTAATTAGTGTTTCATTTGGTTTTATATTTTAAGTCTTGGGGTGTGTGTACGAGTCTTAAACTTGTGGTAGTTTAAAATGATTACAGTATTAATGCTCAAAGGCCGGATAATTTTTCACCGCTCTCACATGGTTAGTGAAAAGATTTGCTCAAACTTGAACAATAGTTTCTATATTTAATCAGGGAGGAAGGGGATAAAGGTACATTCATAATGTGGTTATGACTTATGAGTTTAGGCGTTCACTAAAGAACATAATGTGTGATCTACTTCTGCTGTAAGTTTAATGATTTTCATTATAACAATGTTGAAATATAGACTCCGGCCTATGACATCTCCGGAAGCCCAATACACTACCCTGTACGAAGCCCGGACAATGAGGCTCATTTCGGCCCATTCGACCCGACAGTCTTGTACCTGCTGGGTGAGTGAAGGTTCTATAGTCTATACTATATTGAGGATTTAGGAGTAAATAAACTTCACATTATCTCTTTATATTTTATAGAATGCTTTGATTTTTGTTGCAAAATTTAGATAGTACATACTACTTTAAGAGTGTACACTCATAGTCTTATCCTTACTTTTGAATAATGTTAGTATCTTTTTCAGAATATTTAGATTTCTTTTCAGAATATATAAAGCAAATAAATAATTGAATCTATTCAATTTTTACTTTACGGTTTAAAAATATCTTTTTACTTTTAAAGATTTTTAGAAATTTCGATAAAGAACACTGGTTTATTATCATTTTTTAATTTTAAAAATTTAATTCGCATTTTATTCAGCATACTTTTCATTATGGGTCTTCGGGCGTGAAGATCTATGTTAGTTTTGGGATAGTTAGTTTTCATCAGGTTAGAAGCATTAAAGCTCTTGGAACCGAGTATTTCTTTTGGCGTGAACACCCAAAAAAATAAAAACAACAATAAGAATATGTATATCTGAATTAGAGTAATAATTTGCTTAATAGTATTTTAAAGAGAAAATGTGTAATTTTGAAGAGAAAATGTGTAATTTTGAACACCCAAAATGTAATTACTAGGTCCGCCACTGATGTGAACTTAACAAAGTTAATACGGAGTATTGTTTTCCCTCCATGACCATGACGTGGATTGGTCCACTATTTATTACTCCCTCCGTCCCAGGGAGAAGTTCCCACTTTCCTTTTTTGGTAGTCCCAACAAAAAGTTCCCATTTCCCTAAATGGAAAGTTATCATACATCAAAACAGTGTCAAACAGTGCAAAACAGTGCCAAACAGTGTCGAAACAGTGCCAAACAGTGTCGAAACAGTGTCAAACAGTAAAATTTACCCCTCAGTAACTTTATTTCCTAAATATGTGTGAAAGTCAACCCGGGAACTTCTCCCTGGGACGGAGGGAGTATTAGTGTTTACATAGTTGTACAGAGTAATAAGTTCAAGTAAGAAATTCTAGAAGACACTGTAGTATAATACATCATTATCTATTTAATTCTATTTTTAATATTATTACGCCCCCCAAGCGATGCGTGGGGTTTAAACATACGCAGAGCTTGGACCGAAGAAACTCGAATGCCGGTCAAGGAAGACTTTTAGTAAAAATGTCAGCAAGTTGGAGGTGAGAAGGAACAAACTGTGTGGAAAGACGCCCATCTTAAACTAATTCCCGAACAAAGTGGTAGTCAATGTCAATATGCTTAGCACGCTTATGTGCAATGGGAATCTCACCGAGGAAAATGGCACTTTTGTTGTCACAGAGAATGACTGGTGGGGATGGGGTAGGTATGCGAAGCTCGCGAAGCAAATGAACCAACCACATGACCTCAGAAGCAGTGTTTGCTGGGATCGATATTCAGATTCATAGCTAGAACGGGAGACAGTTGGTTGCTTCTTTGCACTCCAAGAGACAAGATTTCCACCAAGAAACACTGAATAGCCAAAGGTGGAGCGACGTGTCTCAACACATCGTGCCCAATCAGCATCAGAGTATGCAGTAATTGATTGATAAGGCTGATGATCAAAAGACAGACCATAGTGAATAGTACCTTTGACGTAACGAAGGATGCGCTTCACAGCAAGAAAAAGGTCCTCTATAGGTGAGTGCAAGAGTTGATTAACAGAATTAACAGCAAATGATAGGTCAGGGCGAGTGATAGTCAAGTATTGTAATGCTCCGACAATAGATCAGTAAAGCATGGGATCAGAAAATGGCTGACCAGTGCTAACCATTGATATTCCAGGTGCTAAAGGAGTGGCGACGGGTTTTGAATCTAATTAAGCAAAAAATTCCAAAATGTCATAGGCATATTTGGATTGTCCAACAAATAAACCTGTGGGAGTGTGGGAAACTTCAAGTCCTAAGAAATAATTGAGTTTGCCAAGGTCTTTGATGGAGAATTCTTGATGAGTCTGAGAAATGAACTTTTGAACTTGTGCAGGATTATTGCCAGTGACGATGATGTCATCAGCATAGAGTAATAAGTATATAATTGTCGGTGCTTGATGCAGAAAGAATAGAGAAGAATCAGAACGACTCTGCCGGAAACCAAGGCAAAAGAGAAAATCATCGAATCGATGAAACCAAGCCAATGGTGCTTGGCAAAGTCCATAAAGCGCTTTCTTTAAACGGAAGACATGATTGGGGAATTGAGGATTGATGAAGCCAGGGGGCTGAGCCATATAGACAGGTTTGTGAAGAACTCCATTGAGGAAATCATTGTTAACATCCAGTTGATGAAGATCCCACTTGAAATGAACTGAGAGAGCTAAGATCACCCGTACAGTGGCGGCTTTGACCACTGGACTGAAAGTGTGGGAAAAATCTATGCCATGAATCTGTGTGAAGCCCTGGGCAACAAGTCATGCCTTATAGCGGTCGATAGTCCCATCAGAGTGAAATTTGGTACGAAAAACCCATTTGGAGCCAATGATGTTTGCATTGGGTGGACGAGGCACAAGATCCCATGTGTTCTTTTTGTAAATAACATCTAATACTTCTTTCATGGAGACAACCCACTGAGGAGATTTCATGGCAGGCTTTATTCCACGAGGTTCGGTGGAGGCAAGTAGAGCAGATGCTAGTGGTGAGGAAGCAAAATCAACGGGATATTTGGTTTTGAAGATGCCAACTTTAGCTCGGGTAATCACGGGGTGAGTGGGTTGGGGTGGTGGGGGTGGAGGTGGTGTGGGCTGGGAAGTTATTGGAGGTGGGTGAGATT